CTCAGCGGGCCGCGGTAAAATTATCAAATCCGCGGCGATAAAAAGGTTGGGGAGCACTGCTCTAAGTGACCAATCAGGGGGTCGTAAAAGGCAGTGCCAGGCTCAGCATTTACAGAAATGTTCAGATGCCTATATTTCTGGATATAGTCCACTGAAGGTAACCTGCTAATGCATTGTTTTTTTGTTGGCATTCTTACTTTGAAACTATTCAAAGTTAAAACCTAAGGGGATCCATGCAGTACGGAACGGATGTCACCAGACTCTGGTTACATCTATGGCAAGTGGGATGTAAGCGGACGTGTTCATTTACATCTGTGCTGGTTTGTTTTTTGGACCTGGATGGAGTCAGGGGTAATTAGATGTAAACAGACGCAGTCCATTTAGATCCGGTTGCCCATAGACTACCATTGGGCTTCCAATCAGAGCTGCCTGAAAAACTGACAGGCAGACCAGATCAGACTACCCGTCTAAAAGGAGCCTAAACTGGGTAAAATTGATCCATTGATATCACATATTCAATTCTATATTTATGACAACTTACATGAAATAAAATTTAACAAAGCTGAAAGTGGACATTTAACATTTCATTTAGCATGAATACATTCCTTACATGTCATAATATACAGCAACAGTACAACCAAATACAGCTTTATCTTTATTCATTTAAAGGAGAACTATGGGGTCAGTGTTTTTCCCCATAGTTCTCCTTAGGGTAACGGGAGGACACAAACTAGCGTCCTCCCGTTACCCTAAGCTCAGTATACCGCGAGCTGCAGCTCGCGGTATACTGAGACGCTGCAGCCGGAGCGGATCCCGACGTAGATGCCTATCTAGAGGCAGAGCCAGCTGTACCCACCCCTCCCCCGTCCGTTCCGCCAGTCAGCGCTGGCAGATCGGAGCGGGGAGAGGGGAATCCAGCCCTCCCCCTGTCACGGCAGAGAGCCATGACAGGATCGAGAGGTGAGCGAACCTGGTATGTGTTCGCTCACCTCCCGATCTACTGAGCCGACCTGTGACAGTCTTATTGTCACAGGTCGGCTAGAACTATGAGGTGAGTGGAAATCACTCATCTCATAGTTCTCCTTTAAAAGCAGATTTTAAGCTCTGGTCAAGTGCCTTTGTCTAGGCTGAGACCAATATGCTGCAGGCAATCATTTCCTCAGTCTCCCCTTCCCCAGTGATCGGCCTCCAAATCTTGAAACTTTGTAACAGGTCACAAAGAGATAGGCTACACCAGGGACTGATCTGTGCCAGAGATTTGGAAATACAGCCAAGAGCTGTACAGGCACCACAATGTACATGATTGTATCATCTATGAGCCAGATTCTCAGTCTAGAAAGTAGATGCTGACTCTGGAGCGTGTGTGGAAAAAAAGGTGGCTGTGTCCTTATATTCAGGAGGATTACTGTGATCTCTGAGAGGTAATAAATACAGAAAGTGCAGCAAGCACCTATTAATTAACATGTATGCACTCAGCATGGGAAAATACAACTACCGTAGTGCCAAGTCCACTTGAACTAATCTGCAATGTAAAACAGAAACATAGCTTTTAATGTAAAACAGAAACATAGCTTTCAATGTATTTTGCTCTTACTCTGTACAGAGTTGCTGTGATATCCACATTTTCAGGCACAGCCCAAACAACAGATCCACGGAATGGGTCTTTTATTCCAGGTTGCCAGCTGTGAGCCTGTGGAAAACATTACATGTTTAAAATTAAAAACAAACCCCAGTCCAGCAACAGTCATATAGAGACAATGCCTAACTTCCCTATCCATTCAACTGCTACTCTTTTTTTCAGCAAAGTGTTAGGCCCCATTCACACCAGGGCGACAGCGTTTCAGCGTGTTTTCCGCGCGTTTTTAGAAGCGTATTTCAAAAATGCGATAATCAGTGCGTTTCCATTGGAGTCTATATGGAAATGCGCTGATCAGCGAGACAAAAATAGCTAAGTGATCATTTTAGGCAACAGACGTATTGGAACATGCGATTCTGCATGTTTGCATGAACAGCCCCCATAGGAATGTATGGGATTTCCAATGTTGGAGTTTCAGCGAGGGCAAATCTGCTCAACAAAAACACCCTGGTTGTTTCAAATTTTTCTGTTGCGGTAACATGTTTTTTAATTTGCACTTCTTTACTGCACATTACTGCAATCCATGGTAACAGTAACTGTGGTTCATTGTGGTGCCATTCATTTTACCTCTCACTCCAATTCATTATTACACTAAATGGTAATGCACCAGCACTGCTGTGCACTATAACACATATGCTGAACCAAGAATTGGAAACAGATTTCTTTAATTTAAGAATTTACCATTGTTTTTAGTGCAGAACTCAGCCCTATTGCATTCCAAAGCCCTAATGAAGGGTGCCCCTTGGAACACCAAAATACATTGGCTGTTTATTGCCTGCAATGAAAAATAAAATCAATCTGGAAAAACACTCAATTTCAATTTCAATATTGCTGACAAATTACATGAAATAAAATTTAACAAACCTAAAGTGGACCTTTCAGTAACATTTCTAGTCAGCATGAATAAATTACTGACATGTCCTGATATATAGCAACAGTATAACCAAATAAATATATATGTCACATTTTGTACGGTCAGGAAACGCAAACACGTCCAAAACGCACTGGACTGCAGCTAACATACTAACAGCCCCACTCCAGCAAAAAAAATAATTTTTTTTTTTTTTTACTGGAACGCATCAAAAACGCGACCATAACGCACTGCATCAGTAGCACCGCGTCTGCAGATCCGGACCTGATCAGGACCTGAAACTCATGTGAACAGGCCCTTAGGGTGGAGGGGTGAAAGATTCACACAACCATTCCAAAAGTAAGGCTAGATGAGGATATTTCAAGGAGGGGAAGTAAATTAAGTTGCATAAGCCCTCCTTACCATCTCGTCTTGATTTGTATTGTAACTGTAATATCTTCCTATATTGTAAAGCGCTGCACAAACTGTTGGCGCTATATAAATCCTATATAATAATAAGCGAACAGAACCCTCAGAAATAAGGAGGTAAAATTTTAGATGTGGGCATCCAGAAACAAGTCTGCATGACAATACTGTTGTCACGATTAGGAGCACCAGGAATCGTACACTGCGGAGCAGTATATTGTGACTAAATAAGAAAATGTGCAGGGATACAGGTCTCTGGAGATGCAGGGACAGTGTGACTGCACAACAAACGCAGGTGTGCCAGAGTCGCAGGATCTAAGGAAAATACTCAAACAGCAAAGCCACAGGAAACAGAGAGGTCCGGCTACTAGCATGGAGACAGTTTGCTGAAACGCAAAAGCACAGGTGCACAAGCCTTTTAACACCTAGGTTCAGGGTGGATTGACAGGAAACCGAGCAGCTCGGACAGGAGGCAAAACCCGGACCTGGATCAAGGTACAAGGAACTGTGACAACTGTGCATACTACGAGACCATCAACACTGTGCAGCATAAAGAGGCAGATGACAGATGGGTTATCCCACACTTTATTAGCATGAAACGGGGGCCACCATAAAAACTGACTCAGAGAGATTCCCTTATTATTTGGGAAGCTGTCTGTTCTGTAGAGCCAGACCTGGGATAAGGAAAATGGAAATTGTTCACAAAATTCAGATTCTGAAAAGATGCAAGGCAGAATAGTACTGAGGGACAGTATGAAAAGGAAATATAGTAACAAAGTAACATAGTAGGTGAGATTGAAAAAAGACAAAGGTCCATCTAGTTTAACCTATAGTCTTTTATGTATGGGTTTGTGTGTATATTCTGTATTCTGTTCTGTTCTATTCTGTATATATATGGCTCTAACACTTCCCATATCCTTGTATATGTAGTGAAACAAGAAACTCATTTAGAGGTTTCTTCAATGTATCAACGCTATGAGCAAATACTACAGCCTGTGGAAAAGAATTCCAAATTTTTACAATGCGCGCTGTAAAAAAAAACCTTGCGTGGTCTGAGATTGAACCCCCTTTCTTCTAACCTCTTGTTGTGTCCTTGTGTTCTCAATATAGTTCTCTGTATAAAAAACTTCTTCCGAATAATGTGGTCCCCATTGATGATTTTGACTGCAATAAGATCGCCTCTTAGGGTTAGTTCACACCATAAGCAGTGCGTTCCGGTCCGATTCAGGCCAGAACGCACTGCCTCGCATTGCGGCCGGCTCACTTTTTTGCCGGGCAGGAGGGGGCGTGGCAAGCCATTGAAGTGAATGGCACGGTAGCCACGCCCTCTGGCCGCAATGCGATCGCCCGCACGGGATCACAAGGCACATTGTGCCTGCGGTCCAATGCGGTGCGATCAAAATAGTGCTTGCCAAAAAAGTGAGCCGGCCGCAATGTCCGATTCTGGCCGGAACGCTCTGCTTGTGGTCTGAACTAACCCTTAAATGTCTCTTTTCTAAGGTGAATAAGTTTAATTGCTAGAGGCAGTCTTCATAACTCAGGCCTTCTATCCCTTTAATTCATTTTGTAGTCCTTCTCTGGACTCTCTCAAACTCAAGGATGTGTTTCCTGAGGGTTGACAACCAAAACTGCACCGCATATTCAAGATGAGGCCGAATCAGTTATTTATAAAGTGAATGTATTACTCTTTTATCCCTTGCTACAATCCCGCTTTTAATGCAGTACATTATCCTGTTTGCTTTGCTGGCCACTGCTTGGCATTGCATACTATTGCCAAATTGGTGATCTATGTGCACCCCTAGGTCTTTTTCCATGTCCGACTTCCCTAGTTTAGCACCCCCCAAGTAGTAGTTTCCTGTCAGCTCCATGGCAGCACACGAATGGGTTAATCCCTCCCTCCTCCCCTAATCAGGATTGTAACTCATAAAAGCTGAAAGAGTCCCCTGGCTTGCCGTTCCTTTTTTTTTTCCTCCTACATGTCAGGATCAGAGCAGTGTGCCTACCTAACAGGGATAAAGTCCTTGATGTCCACCTTCTTCTTCTACCTCCTTCAGTTGGCGAAGTCCCTGTGAGCCCTTTCCTAAATGGTGCAGGTCCACCATTGACAGGTCAATGGCGTGGTTGTACAATAAAAAATCTCTCGATGCAAACGGCACATGCTCAAACGAAAGTTGTCCTTTTGATCAATGTAAATCAGCCAGGTGGTGATGCTGACAAGCATTATTTGTGAACTACATTGGTCTGTGCATGATGGGTTAGTTGTAAGAAAATTGTATGAAGGTGAAATGTCTGCACAACAAAAGTTGTACAATGGGTTGTCGGGTGTATGGCCACCTTTACATATGTGATTCTGTGGTGCTGCTAATGCCTAAGCTGACTCTAAGGCCCGGTTCACACCTGGGCGTTTTGTAGCGCGTTCGAACGCTCTGCAAAACGCTCAAACACTGAAATCCCATTATTTCCTATGGGTATGGTTCACAGTTGGGCGTATTACAGGCCGTATGAACGCGCTACAAAACGTCCTACACCCAAAGAAGTACAGGAGCTTCTTTAATGCGTTTTTGTCGCACGTTTCCATTGGGATACAGCCAAGTAGCACTCGTGAATACAGCCAAGTAGCCCTCGTGAAAAACGCGCGTGAATTGCGGTAGAAACGCACATATTCAATACGCCTAGGTGTGAACCCAGCCTTACAGGTATTTACCTGAAACACCCATTAGCTTGCTTTCAGGTGCTTTAACCTCGCAGGTGCTTGCTGAGTGCAGGCTGCTGCCACTTGTAGCTCTGCTACTAAATCTTTTAACTGGATCTTACAAAAAGTTGTTTGTCAACTCTGTCAGCTTCATCTTGTGCCCTAACTCTTGGGTGCCTTTCTTGTGAGTATTGTGCTGTCACCTGTGGTTCCCCAGCGTTGGTAATGTTTAAAATGTAACTTATGTAGTTGTGGCTTCATTGCAGGCCTATTCTGCCTGTTATTCAGTATTCTTTCTCGTGTATTTCTATGTATTGTGTTAGTGACGAGAGCCTGTGGTGCCATAACCTGTGTGGAGCCGGTGTTTGCGGCTCCTTGCTGTGCTGTCTGGGGTTCCCAGCGGCAGTGTTGAAACGCACGCTGATGTAATTTACGCCGCCGGGGAGCTTCAAGCCTCTGCATTGTAAGACTTGCGTCGGCAGGTGTTCCACCCAGGCACTTCCGCCGCTGGACGAGAACCCGGAAGAAACCGGCTTCTGTGGGTTCCTATGACGGAGAGTGGAATGCGTTCCAGTGCGGCTCCACCGCCGGATGGGCAGTCAGTGTTCCTTCTGGTGGAGGAGTTATTAGAGGGGCTATTTAAGTCACCCAGCCCTTCAGAGATGGCTGTCTGTTTTGAGCCTGGTGGTACACAGTCAGCCGAGCCGCGGCATTCTTGGGATAAGTAAGTGCTTATAGTGACCGTTAGCTGATTATTGTAGTTGCTGTTGGTTGTGCTAGCATTTTCATGCATGCACATCATGCCTCTAGACAAATCCCCACCCGCCAAAGATCATCAGTCACTAAGAAGGTAGGCACCTGCTCCTCATCGTAGTTTGCTGTCCAAAGGTCAGCCTTTTTTTGTATCATATACCTACCCTGTGTTCAGGTTGGTCCAGGTCCGGCTCTCGCCATGTTCGGGAGCGCAGTGAGTCCTCTGTGTCTAGTTGAGGGAGATCACTGTCTTTAGAGCAAGACACTCGTCGTTCCGACAGAAGATTTCGCAACCAGTCTCCGTCTGTAAATCAGCGGATTCCCTCAGCGCATC